TTCCGGTTACACTAACTCCCGAAGGTGCTGCTTCCAACTTTTACCTCCTTAAGTAGGGAGCAGTAGTGTCAGGAGACTTGACACCAGAGTACTGTGCCGGAGCCAGTATGGTCCACACCAGTCCCCTACTCCCCAGCCCCCGCCCTTCTCTGTTCTCAGCTTTATTGTCATTTTTATTCATCTCTAGAACATGGACTTCGCCCGCCTCTGGCTAGGGCTGCTGCTGCCTTTGGTAGCTGCGCTGGATTTCAGCTACCACCACCAGGAAGAGATGGAAGCGTTTTTGAAGAGTGTTGCCCAAAACTACAGTTCTATCACTCACTTACACAGTATTGGGAAATCTGTGAAAGGTAGGGTCCGTCTCCTGCACTTTTCTAAACCCTTAGTCCTCGCTTTCATTCATTGAATACGCCTTAGCTTCGTGCCCACTCTCTGTGAAGCTACTCAGAGGGGCTCCAAATGGATACACCAGTGTCTTGCTTGTTGGTTGTTCTCTGCTTATGTGTGTTGTGTTGTTTTGTTAGGGGAGTAGTGGTAGGAAGACCTGATTTTTTACTAAGAGTCTCCGCTGTCATTGAAGTCCTATGAGTTAATGGCGGGTGTGTGTGTGTGTGTGTGTGTTTGGATCTTGCAGACATTGGTTGCCTGGAATGTGTATTTTAGTTCCTTTTCTAAATAAACTTCTGCCAAGGAAGTTCATTTATCCATCTCAGGTTTCCCTTTTTGTTGACCTCTTTAAATATGATTCAGACTGTTAGTATCATTTCTTCAGGTCTTTTAAAAATTAAAATAGTGCAGTTCTCTTGGTGAAATTGCTATGTCATGTATAATTAGCCCTATGGTTTAAAGTTATGGCAAAACCATCACTTTTCAAGTTTGTCTTAAATAGTACAGTTCTGTTGGTAAGATTGGAGTCGTGTATAATTAGCCCAAATGCTTAAAATTATGCAAAAAAAGTGGCTCAGATAGTGTTAAAGGCTGTTTTAAAAATTATTTATTTGAATAAGACAATTGCTGGATAATGTATGTTAACAGTGATTGATAATGCTTTTGGCATTTTCACGTTTATTGTTTAATTGCTTTATTGTAATTTAGAAACTATATTAAGTATGAACATATAACTATGTTGTATTAAGTAGTTCTCACTTTTATAGATGGAGAATTCGATCATAGAGAAATTATTTTGCCTACGATCACCCAGATGGTGAGTTTTTAAATCAGATTGGCACTCAGATCACTACCTCAAGGCTTAGACATTTGGAGGCAAAGCAAATAATTTTATCATATATTATTTCTTAATCTTCTTTTATTGGTACCCACAAAGAAATTACCAGAAAACTTAATGCTTAAATCTAGTTTTGTCAAGCTTATGCAGTTTGGATCTCAACAGTTTATAAGGTGAGTTCAAACCCTACCTGGGTTCTGAGCTTTTCAGCCACTAGGGAATCTCTTAATTACCATATTTATGTTCTTTCCCAAAAAATTAAAGTCAGGGTTTTTATATTAAAGAAGTATTACATAAATTTACTTATGTGCAATGCATAAGTGTATATGTGTATAATAGTACCTTAGTTTTTAAACAACATTGTCAAAGAACTGGTGCCAGTTTTACTCTATATTGCTCTATAATCCAAACTTAAAGAGGTTGGATGTGTGAGAAATCATATCTTGAATCAGCATATGTATTCAGCCTTTTGAAATCATTTCCCCCTAAGGCTAGAGAAGAACAATTTTAAAAGATCTAAGAATGCTAATTATGTTAATAAAGGAAATGTAGAACACAACTAGCTTGAGTTATTGTTCAGTCATCATTTAAACCACAAGATGATGAGGATGTTGTTAATTTTAAGTACTTAAATGATTTGGTAAGTTTTTATTTTTTTAATCACATAGTACTTGTGAAAGAAAGCTGAGGACTCTCAATGTGAACCAGCTCTTATGATCTATCCTGCATAATATCGGACAACAGCAATAGTGAAGGACAGCAGGCTTTTTTTTTTTTTTTAAACCTTGTATCACTCCTGTGATACAGGACTGAGGAGTTATCGTGTAAAAATAAAATCTGACACTAGTAGTCAAATGTTTGCATTGAGTTGTTCTGAATAATTATTCAGATTAAGAAAAATCCCAAATCTGCTATTCAGTTCCAAGTGGTAGGTTAAACTGCACACTGGTAGCTGGGAGTCAGTTGCCAGAGTATTTGCATGTTAGCATGAGCATCAAAAGACAATGCCCCTTTGCTGGCACTCTTTTCACTAGATAGGCGATTTTCCCCGGCCAACCTGCTCTCTAGTGTAAGATAACTTTGCTTAGCAAACTGGACTTATCGTATGTGTTCTTTTCCTTTTTTTTTTTTTTTTGTTAAGAACATGGGCAACCTACCCACTAGGGAAGAAAGTAATATTCCTATCTTGCCAAATGCATTTTTAATTTTTGTAAGTGCATATCACATTTTCATTGTTGTAATCATGGATTCTATTCTGCTTTTTTCCCTGATTCACATTATTTCACTACATATTTCCATGAGTTGACAAAGTCTGCAGATATGAATTGGTTGCTATGTAATATTTTATCCTCTTGATTATCTGAATTTTCTTAGTCTTTCACCACTCTGGGGCAAATCTGTATAGTTACTGATCTTTGTTATAAACAGTGATGCTATAAAACCGTCAATACATGTTATGATAATCACCTATTATATTTGATGATTTTCAGTTTTTTATTTTGAAGTGTTAAAAACCCACACAAAAGTTGAGCACATGTTTACTCAGCCATAGTAGACTGACCATATTTCAGTTGAGTCTTTTCGAGGGAACCCCACTATGTGATGACATTGTAAAGAAAATCTATGTGAAATGAAAAGCAACTCAAAAAAAAAAAAACCTGACAAATGAGAAAAATCAGTAAAAGTGTAGTGTTCATGTATTCATTCATTCATTCATTTCTCCATCCAATCAATTAAGGAAGCACCTCTTTTTTTTTTTTTTACTCTTAGCTCTTTGTATAGCAAAATGGTTGGTACATATTCAGTGATTTATATCTGTTTGTTTAATGGATTGAATATTTGCTGAGCAAAAGCTGTGGGAAGCAAGCAAAGATGTTCCCTGCCATCAAGTAGCCTGTAAATACAAATGTATTTATTGTGGATTTCTCCAGTTTAGCTCTTCACATTCCAAAAAATTCATTCTAGGACCACTTAAAATGAGATTTCCTACCATCTGTGTTTTAAGAATCTCGACTTGCCTTCTGCTAAGTCTAATCTTTATCCGAATGAGGAAGGTTACAAATGGCAAGGGGCAGATAATAAAAATCTCTTATCAAATGTTTTCCAAGTATTAGGTGTTTTAACACATTATTTCAATCTCAACTCAAAGTAGGCATTATCATCATTTATAGAACAGGTGAAATGAGTCACGGAGAAGTTAATTAACTTGCTGAAGATCACATAGCTGATAAGTGTTTGAGGGAGGATTCAAACTTAGATTCTCCTATTTCTCAGGCACATCTTTTTTTCTATAAAGCAGCAGCTTAAATTGGTTGTAGATGGTTACACGGAGATTGAGGTTGTTAGTGGAGGGTTTCAGGGTCATGGTTTGGGCCCATTTGATCTGAAAGTATAACTTCTGCCACGTATCTGTAGCTGTGTTATCAATTACAGTACCCCTTAGCCACTTGGCTGATGAACAGTTGAAATGAGGCTAGACCAAATTGAAATGTCCTAAAGTGACTGAAGACAATACAAAGAAGTAAAATATTCCATTACTATTTTAATATTATGTTGAAATGATAACATTTTAGATATATAGGTTAAATAAGAAATACTTAAAAATTAATTTCACCTGTTCCTTTTACTTTTGTTAATGTAGTTATGGCTACTAGAATATTTTAAGTTATATGTATGACTTGTAGTATATTTTGAGGGCTATGCTGACCTAGAGAGGAATTTGTTATTAGTAATTTTTTTTCCTGAGTACAAAAGGAATTTAAGTTCATTCAGAAATTTAGAAAATAGAGCAAAGCACCAAGAAGAAAATTAAAATCTCTCCATCCAAAAGAAACATTTAGTGGATTGGAATCACTATAAGCACTATTTCTTGCCTCCCCCACCTCTCCACTGAGCCAAATATCTTGTTTATCCATGCAAACATGTTCTAAAACTTGATTTTTAATGCCTGCTTTGTGCCCTATCAATGGATATACTATTGTTTACTTTACTCACACTCCACTGATGGACATTTAGTTTGTATCTAAAATTTTCCTGTTATAAACAGTGCCATAGTGAACATCTTCATAGCTGAGACTGGAAAAGTTGTCAGAGCACATACTCTGGAACCACAGTGCCCAAGTTCAAATTCTAGATTCTCTACTTTGTCCCGCTGTGACCCTGGGTTGTTAAAATAATTCCTGGCACATAGTGCTACATAAGAGCTGCTATTAGGGATACGTTTCCAAAAAGCAAATTACTAGGCCTTAGGCAGTTTTATATATTTGATACATGTAACCAAATTGCCTTCCAAAAGACTACTGATTTATAATTTCATGAGATATGTATGCTAAGAAAAAAGCAGCTCTTCTGAATCTTATACTAGTCACAAATGAGTACTGGAATTAGTGGTTTGAAAGATTACTATAGGATTTGTCAAAGGATACAAAGTTTTGATTGTACAAGATGGATACGTCCTAGAGATCACCGTAAATCATAGATAATAATCATAGATAATATATACTTAAAATTTTGCTAAGAGGATAGATCTTATGTTGAGACGATGATGATAAAGGATCACTGTATTATCAATTTTTCATTGTTGTGTTTAAAGTATAAGAGAGAATTTATTTCTCATGCTTTTTCCTCAAGGACTCTCACCTTCATATATTCATTCAGCAGATATTTATTTAATTCCTCTGCCAGGAGTCTTTATACAATTTCTAATCAGGAATCTCCCCAGAACTGGCTTAGATTCCTGCCCCAAAGATGCATGTACTGTGTCCACATACATAGATCTCTTATTGTCTCCTGTCCTTGACTTGGGTAGATTTTGGTTTTTTGGCTGGTGATCTGCCCTTAGGGGGTGGGGGGGGACATTGTGTCTTAAATTTTGCCACACATTTTGTTTTCTGTCACACTGTTCATTTCTCAAGTGTGATCATAAAGCCAGTTTGCTTGAGATCCTATATAAAATGCTCTTTGTGATGTAAAAGGAGACTTTTATTGAGGACTATCAAGAAAATCACTAAAAGCTAGGAATATAGGAATAATACTTATTTGTGATTTAAAGTTATATTGGTTTAGCAAGTCTTTCTCCTTCTTTAAATTGAAATGCAAAGTTTTCTTCTGAAACATCTTCTGGAT